CTCAGTGGAAGACAGGACTTACTGTAAGAAGAGTTGGAACCAGATGCCTATTTGAGGTGCTTATGACAGAGCCCAGCACCTTTTTGATATTCTAGTTTTCCATGGGGGTGCCCAGTTCCAGGTCTCCAAGAAGAACAGAGGTGTGGAGGCAGTTGACCCATGGGGAGGGCACTGGACTTCTCCTTTCTCATGACCCTCAGACTTCCCTCAGTGACACTGGTGAGTGCTTGGTCACTATTCATGGCACAGAACCAGGAACTCCAGATCTGGGGTCAGATAACCCTATTCAGTTTATAACATCTTCTCTGCTTTATAACGTCATCTCTGCTGTTTCTGTACTGTGTGATTTTGGGCTTATTTATTTGGGTTCCCTGAAATCCAGTGTCCTCATTTTCAGAATGGGAATAATGTCTAATTTATAGGGTCACTAGAAAGTTGGAAGAATAGAATTTATATAAAGCAGAAGATTTGGCACATAGTGGTATCCAATATAATTTATCCTCCTCTTAGAGTTTTTTGTACAAAAAGCTCAGAGCCAAATTGGAATTTAAAAGTTACCAGCTTGCATATTGAGATTCAATTATAATATAATTACATTTTAATGTATCCTTGTCTTCATCTTATTGTTTTCATTTATATTTTCCTGATCCTCGTTATTTACTTCCCTTCTATTGTTTTATTCAGGTCCCCCTTTTGGATATTTCCCCCAGTTCTTTGCAGAACTAGCTGGAGAGCCTCTGATGTCAGGAAAAATGGATCTTCATCATGACTTGTCAAATAACTATGTGATATGGACTGCGGAGTCTCTCTGAACCTCAGTTTCCTCATCTGCAGAATGGGGTGAAAAATCACCCTACAAGCCATTTTACAACACAGGCATAAGGATCTGTTGCTTATGTGTCTTGCAGAAGGACGTAAAGTATGATAAACTTGTAAACATAAAAATCTATTTTCTGTGAGACAATGCTCCAACTTATTTATCTCTGAAATTACTCTCCTCAAACTGCCCCAGGACTCACAGCCTTTGGCAGCCAGGTATAAAGCACTGAGGAAATGGCCATTGAATCCCACCTCTAAGGCCTCCTCCCCCATTCATGCCTGCTTCCTGACTCAGCAGGGTGTTTGAAGGCTCCACTTGTGGGATGTGTGGAGATGGCTTGCCTTTGCACATCCGATGTTGTAAGATTCAATAAAGTGGGAGCATAAAAATAAAGACAGTTAACTAATGGTACCCAGCAAACAAGGGAGTCGGTCACACACAGTCTGAGAAGGGCAGACAGCTAAGGTGTTAGAGGATTCAACAGGGATTTGTTCTGAAGCAGTTTTGTTTGGACTGAAAATGAATAAGGAGAAGATGACATGTGAATACCAGAGATAAAGGAGAAGACTTAAGCCCAGATAAATAAGGAGAGTACCCAGAGAAAGACCCAGAAACTGATTCCAGGGAACAGAAGATCAGAGGGAGGAAAAAAAAAGTACACAGGGCTGTAGGATCAAATGAGATTACTTAATAAAAGCTAGCATTTCTTTAACTGGAAAACAATGCACATCGTTTGTCCTTGAAATGTGACATACACTCCTTTTTAAAGAATGCCAAAGCTCTCCACAGCAACAGCTCCTACCAGACAAAGCCTCTGTCACCCTTGAGGCCCAGAGGTTATTTTCCCTATACAATATTGGTATCCTTGATTGAATACATGTCACCCAACTTAGCAGTCACTTGGAATAGAAAACCCCAGAAAATGAACCTATGCAGGAAAAGGCAGAATTTGAATTAGGCAAGGGCCTACCTGTCCAATAATGAACTAATTGCTCAAAGCACGTTCTTTTATATTCTTTTCTGATGCAGCAACCCTGCCTGGGCCCTACCCCTCAGTGCTGCACAACATTTGCACATAATCTCAAGGCCTCTTAAAGATGTTGATGCAGAAGCCAGACAGTCACTTCCCTAATGTCACAAAAATAGATTCAATTTTACATACATCAGGGTGATTTCAGAAGCAATTTCTACATCTCCAGTGTAAGCACTACTTACTTTTTTTTTTCTCCCTCAAATCTCATCCCAGTGGTTCCACAGGGCATTTAAAAAGCTACCTGATGCACTTGAGGGCATTGAAAAAAATCCCCAATGTGGGTTTATAGCTGCAGTTGAAGACACCAAATACATACAGAGGGTTCTAAAATATTCAGTGATTCAAATACATGCAAATTTTCATTTCATACTAATCGAGTATATAAAAAACAAAATTAATTTTTTTTGCTTTTTAAAAAGTAATATTATTAAAATGAAAGAACACATATAAACATAATATGGTTGTGTATACATGTCTGTGTGTTCATACACAGACATATATGTGTGTGCGTTTTAAACATAAAATGTGCACATATAGATATCTAATCATTTGGAAAGATTGTCCCTGGCCTTTAAGCTCTCTAATTAGGTTCCACTGGATATTTTTCTTCTTCCTTTCTGATTAGCTAATTTATCTCCATCTTGGGTGTTTTCATTTTAAGGGTCTAAGTTTTGGTGCATGGTGAAAACAATGGTGATATTTCCCTTTGAAACCCAAGAAATTAGAGTCTCCCAGGTTGTTTTCATTTAAGATCAGAAAGCTTGAGACCAAATGCCTATAATTTTAGAGCCAAAATGATCGACATACATCTCTGACCATAATCTCTGTCATTCAAAGTCCTCCCATGGCAATTCCACAAAAGGAAAAGAGTGTGCGCAGAGGCTGATTGTATAGGAAAGGTTTAGCATAAATAGGTAATAGTTGGTCAGTGTTTTTAATCAGCTATTCTTGCAAACAAACTTCTTTACCCTTGGGCCAGAAGCAGGAGAGCCAGAGCCGGTCTAGTACAGTGGAGCCTCAGTGAGCTCGGGATGGTCCTTTCTTCAAAACCCAACCTCATTTATTTGATGGCCCCTTCTCTGCCCTTCCTGGTCTACATCAAAATCCCCTTGCCCAGGCCCTAGGAAATGTGTGAATCCCTGTGATTCACCTGGACCGAAGACAGAAAAAGGACTGGTTGCTTGGTTAAGCAGACCACAGATTTTCCTCTGACCTCCAAGGAAAGCAAAAGTTAAATATTTGCTCATAAAATAATCAGTAGACTCTTAGGCTTTGTTTTTAAAAGCCATTACCCATCTTTAAGACGTGCTCAAACTCAGCATCGTCAATAACGGGCAAAGTGATATCATGTGTCTATTGGTATGATCCAAAGGGAAGTACACAGCATCGCATATGTAGTATTTTTACCCAAATGTTTAACCTGAATGTTATCTGGATTGGAGACCATTTTATGAGAAAACTGCCCCCAGGCTTTGAAAAAAAAATATCAGTGTCCTGGAAAAAAAAAAGTTTGGAAGTCTATTCTACAGGCAAAGGAGATAAAGAGACAAGAAAACCAAACACAGTGTGAGCACCTTGGATTGGAGCCTGAATTACAATGAACAACAATAAAGAAGATTTGGGGACATTGAGAGAATTTGACTCTGGATAGGTATATTGGATATCATTGAATCAAGTTTCCCTTGTTGGTTAAGATACTGTTATCGTGGTTGTGTTGAAGAGTGTCCCAGTTCTTAGGAAACTTGTTGAGCTCTGTACAGGTGAAGTGTTATGTCTGAAGTGAACTTCTAAATTGTTCAGATAATTGGAGAGAGAGAGAGAGAGAGAACAAAAGTGCAAATGCTGAAAAATGAACCATTTGAAGGGCTTTACAAAATCTATAGCCTTCAGTCCCTGCCCTCGCATTCCCAAGGAGATTTTGATTCAGTGGATGAGGGTGGAGACCATGTACATGTATTTTGGAAATCTCCCCAGGTGGATTCTGTGCTGCCCTTGAGCTTAGGAATCATGGGTCAGACCTGGGTCCATCCAGGACAAGCTGTGTGGCTGTGGGCAGTTGAACCAAACACATTTGGCTTTAGATGCCTTACCTATAAAACGGGTACAATAATAACATGTATCTTACAAGACTGTGGTGAGAATGAAATGAGAGAGAGTGGCTGCAAGTGCAGAAGGTGGCAAATAAATATTTGTTTTCTTTCTTCCTTCATCTTCTCATAGATCTACATCATCCCAAATGGACCATACCTAAGGTTATTTTTTGCAAGTTGGGATTTCTTCCATCTGCAATTTATATAATATATGGAGGAATTTTGTCCCTGATAAATATCCTTTTAGATTTCCTGCATTCCCCAATTTGGAGCAGAGGTTGGGGAATCTAGCGTATTAGATCTAGGAAAGAACAAGCTTACAGCATGGTTGGAAGATAAGAGCGAATGCCACCGTGTAATTACCACACCAGCCTGATAGGTTAAGAGTCCTGGAGCTCTCCTTTGGATAGGGCTGACCATGAAGTCTTAACCACCTAGATTAGCTTGGGGTCCTTTGTTAGCTTTGCATGAAGACTCAATCTTCACAAGATGTCATGTGTCACTATTGGCTAAGGCTTAGAAGTGGCCATGGCTTGAGAGGTCTGTCTTCCAGTCTGGACTTGATATCAGCCAAGGGACTTTGGAGAGACTGTTTCTGAGCCTTCATTTCCTGAGCATCCAGAACCAGGACAGTAATAGTTCATGACTCACTTACCTTACACGATATGTGTGAAACAGTTTGAAAATTTAAAAATTCAGTTCATGGTGGCATATTTTTCTCTTTAAAGGCCCCTCCTCCTCCTCCTCTTCCTCCTCCTCCTTCTCCTCCTTTTTTACTATTATCATTTTTAACCCATCTCTATTTAGGCCCCACAAGCAGTTAGGATGACTTGGTCCCATTTCTTTCTACTTTGGGGTATATTCTTAAATACTCCATTTCTCCTTTGAAGGGGCTGCCCCAGGGCTCTGCAGGGGAGAACCTTCCTCCTGGACCATCCCAGGGAAGCATCCTGACTCAGGGTCTCACAATACCTGAGCACTGTGAGGGGTCCACAGCAGAAGTACCAGGGTCATGCCAGACCTAGATATCACCTTCCCCTTAGTGGACTCAACTTACTGAATCCGTTAACGTCCTGAGAACTGGAGGAGAAGCCTTCATCATTGCGACTGGCGCTGAGCTTGGTGGTGGGTTTGTCCGCAGAGGCCACAGGCCCCATCTCCCTCTGGGCTCCACTCTGTGTCTCCTTCTGCTTCTTGGCCAGCTTCCTTTGGGACATGTGCAAGGGAAAAAATCACAGTCAGATGGTGCCAGTTGAAATAAAGCATTGGAAAGATAGATTACTCTCCTTTCCTGCCTGCCATCCTCTACTCTCACGCTTGGCTTATTTTCCAGAAATAAAGCTAAGCCAGGCTCTCCACTGTCAAGGTGGAATAGAGCTAAGTCCTCCATAACAACTAGTAGATTCCATGCAATAGAATCGCGAACGCATGCCGCCTTATCCAAACCATGCGCACAAAAATCAGTGAGACTTGTACGATGCCACCTCCGCTCTCCTTTAGAGGAGGAAGAGGCCAGGCTGGTCTTTCTGTTCTCATGTCTAGAATTTGGTCTTTTTCAGAGACTGAGCTCATGAACAACCCACCCACTAATGGTAGGTTGAAGAAGGGAATGGTGGTTGGGGGTGGTGAGGGTTGAGGTTAGTCTCATAGCTCAAAGGGAGAAAAGGAAAAGCTGAACTTGATGCATAGCTATGCACGTAGGAATAGACCCTCAGAACCAGAAGGGCATTTATAATAATAATAGTGTAGGCCAATAGTTTTCAAACTTCGGTAAAAATTTGAGTCACCTGAGAAAAAGTACATAGAGGCTCAGGCTCATGAATGTAGGATAGAGCCTGGACCTCTGTGTGGCCACCGAGTTCCCAGGTGATTCTGACACCAACCACTGGGGGGCAAAACTCTTGACTTTGACATCAGGCAGATGTTGGTTTGTATCCTACCTCTGCTGCCTGCCAGCTGCATGACCCAGGGCAAGTTCATTCGTCTCTTTAAAACCTGAACCCTTCCTCTGTACACTGTGGCAAACTAACTTTACAGCATTGTAATAAGTGAGAGGGTTCGTAAAACACAAAAAGCACGGTGCCTGGCACATGGGGAGCACTCCATGCCCGGAAGCTGCTGTTCTTATGAAGACCTGAGTTGCCTTTCAGTGTCTGGATTCCCTTTCCAACAGCCCCACTGTGGAATACCGTCTCCCCCTGAATTATATCAAAGGATGGAGACTTGGATTCCTCACCCGGGAACTGAAAGGTTAAGGAGTTCTTCTTTTATGGATTAGAAATCCACCTCCCTTAAATTTTAACTGATAGGTATTAGATATTTCATTAGAAATCTAAAAATATGACTAATGCTTCTTGCATATAACAGTTATTCAAATATTTCTAAAAAGTCCACATGATCTCTCTGGGTTTTCTCAACCCATATGCATCTCAATGTTAAACATTAAATATCTCGAGGATTAATTTTTCCAGGCCTCTTGCTCCATTTTCCACAGGACCTGGCATCAAATTCAATTGTGGTTATTCCTATATCCATGCAGAAAGAATAGGTGTCCAGAGAGGTCAGACTCGGTGCAAAATAGGGAATAATTTTCCCAAGTTGAATCCATCTGCTCATAAAATAGGGCATTTCAAGAGGTAATGATCTCCCAATGTGAGGTGGTATTCAAAGAAAGGATAAACCTAGATGCAAAAGTATTTTAGAGCTCATACAATATCAACTCCAGTTTGGTAGTAAACTCCTTAAAGCCTGGGTCCCTGATCTAGGTGTAGACAGCAGAGAATGACAGATGGCACACACACACACATAGGGATGATTTGAGGAGCATCTATTTATAAAAAGGGTGACTGGCAAAAGTGGAAAGAATGCAGGGCACCCCAATGTAAAAGAGATTTACACACACACACACACACACACACGGAAGAGCCGTTTGTCACCTGTGGATCCAGAAGAACAAGTAGAGGAAGCACAAGAAGAGAACTGTAAAGGGGAGACACTGGACAAGAGCCTTGGCTGTCTTTTGAGGGGTCCTGCCTGTGCTAGGTGACCTCTAGGAAGGAACCAGAGGCCAAGGTGTCCTGACTGCACCCAACCCTCTCCCTCTGATCCCATACAGCAGTTATCAGTAGCTGAGCCCAATTATGAGGCAGAGATGGTGAAGCACCCCTTGGGGGGAGTCCCTGCAGAATGTGCTCTGGAAGCAGAAAACAGAGCAGAGAAAGGTAGAGAGTGAATCCTGAGAATTCAGACCAAGAAGAGAAAAGCTTTTCCTTCCCCGATTTTGGCCATAATTTCAAGACAAATGCAGCCTACCATGGAATTCTTCATTTATTTAGTTTTTCAAAATTGGCCTGGGGAAAGAAGGGCACTCAAGAGTAGAAACACATTTTTTTTTTTTTTGGTTGCAATGCTTTGGCCACAGGCACCCTGTTCTTCCCATGCAGCTATTCAGCAGACAGAAAAACAACCAGTGAATCACTGCCTGGGAGGGCCCCTTCTTACCACCGGCAGACAATCAACAGGCAGGGTGTGCGCCAAGGAAAGAAAAGTGAGTAATTCTGCTCCTGATGACATTTCAAAATTTTATTCTTCATTTATTATCAAAAAGGAGTGTGTTTAAAAATGTATATGTGACCTTCTTAATCATAAATTTGAAAAGATATACAGCATATCCTTTGCCTCTATCTGAGCTCTGCTCACATTCCCCCAGCAGGAAATAAAAAGAAAATCCGATAAGAGAATTAACTTTAAAACTATAAATGAGTATGTATCAGACGCTTGGTATTTCCTCTGGGGCAGAGCTGCTAACCAATCTCATTCTATTCAGGGTAAAATAATATGGAGAGGGCTGTGTTGGGCACAAATCATTGGTTTCCAAAGGAATAATAATAACAAAAAGGTCTCACAGATTCTATGAAAAATGGCATTTTATAGAAATGTTTGGGTAGCTCAGCATACCTATATTGAAAAAAATAAAAATCAGAGCCTCTCTGAAACATGTAGATATTTAAAAGTCAGAAAGCTGAGTTGTAAAACTTCAGACATGACATGTACATTAGTCAGATTTGCATTACTACAATGAAATACCTCAGATGATTAAGTTACAAAGAGGAAAGGTTTATATCAGCTCATGGTTCTGAAGGCTCTTTCAGTGGCCCCATTGCTTTGAACCTTGAGCAGGAGAGGAATGTCAGGGGATGTGGGTGGTGGAGCACACTGCTCAACTCACGAGCCAGGAAACAAAGAGCACAACTGGATGGGCCAAGATGCCCAAAGCCCATTTAAAGGCCACCTCCAACCACCTAAGGACCTCCCGCCGGGTCCCACTCTTCAAGGCCCACAGCACCTCCCAATACCACTGCCCTTGAATCCAAGCCCTTAACTCATGGACCTTTAGGCCCAGCCACAGCAGTGTCCTTCATGTACATTCTACAGCTGACCGCTCCTGCATGATCGAGGTGAGGAGAATGCTGCCCAGGGGCTTTGGCAGGAGGTGAACACAACTACAAGGTGGAAATGGAGTCCATAAAGAAGGCAAGGAAATCTAGCGTGAGGCACTATCTATTCCTTCAGAATCCAAAATTTAAATATTAAAAATACTGTCAGTAACACAGGAAAACTGATATTCATTCCCAGTACCAAAAAGAGTTTAATTTATCCCACTTCTCTTTTTTTTTCCCTTCAAAGAGAGAAGAAAACCCAAACCTGTGAATAGCTAAAACTACATTGTATACTTCAACTTAGGCTTCTGTTCCACACATACCTCCTTTTAGGACACATCAGCTACCCCCCCACCCAACACACACCCAATACTCAATACAATTATTCCTTCCTGAGTCCCCTTCTTTTCTAGGGACCACCTCTTCCTCATCCTCCAAGTCTCAGTGTTATTCAAATGTCAGATCTCTTTTGGACTTTGCCCTGCTCCTCTCTAATAGAATTGTAATTTCCTGCTCTTGGCTGACTCATCCATTGAACAGATATTTATTCAGCATGTATGTGTATCAGTCTCTGCTAGACATTAAGAAGATCATATATTCTTGACCTTGACCCTCACGGAACCCAGAGACTAACAGCAACAACAGGCATTGAACAGATAATGGAGAAGGCCAGGAAGAAATATCTGATGCTCTGAGAGAGCTCAAACATGATTGGGACCTGACAGGACATCAGGGACTCTTAGGTGCATGTCAGCTGAGCACTCTATTCAAGTTACAGTAATTCCACTCTCTCACCCACTTGGGCCAGGACCACTTGGGAGAAGGGCTTTTGACTCTTTGCACCTACTCCAGTTTCTTGCTAGGTGTCTGGCACAGAGCCAGTGTTCAATAGATTTGTTGCACAGATTTATATTTAAAAGTCTATGATTTGAAGTGTAGAGGATTGCCATACTGCTCTGGACACAAATTATAACCACTTAAAAAGCAGATACGTGCAAGGAAAGAAAAGGGGAAAAAAACTACATAAAAAAATCAGTTTGTACCCTGGAATATGGCTACCTAGGAATACTTTTAATTAATAACTTAGCATTTTCTTCTGGGAATGTTTGCAGAATTAATGGACTGTTCACAGATGTCAGAATTTCCACCTCCCCCACCAGCCTACAGAATATCCATAGGTATAAAATGCTGTAAAAGAAATCTTCATGAAGTGATCACACAACTCATGGGGATGATCGGATGGACTCCTCGGGGCTTTCAAGACTCAAGTACTTATTATTACCTTCTGAACTTGGAATTTTTTCTCTAGCTCTTCTGAGATTCTGTGGGTCACACCATTTCACCAGTAGGGGGTACCAAAAGCTGGTAAAAAGCGAACATGCACAAGCCTATTTATTCCTCTACAGGAACATTTCCAGAGCCGAAGGATGTTTTAAGACATAGCAATCCAAAGTTTACTGCTCCTGACAGGTGGGGACGATGTGACGTGGCGGCAGCTCTTGGCATTTTCCCCTTTCACGGATTGCTCTGGGGCTTCTTTGACCTCTGCTTGTTAGCTGAGCAAGGGGCAGGAGGGAGAGGATGTGCCACGGTGGACCCTGAGCCCTGTGATTCATTCTGAGCATTGCTTTTCACAGGGGATCGTGCAGGTGGAATGGCTTAGGGGAGAGGAATGAAGGGCTGCCAAGTGTCCTGGAATCACGCTACAAGAGGAGGCGTCTGAAACATCGAAGGGTATTCCTCATGGAGGGAATACTGGGGGAAGTT